TCAATATGACTTCATGCTAAGAGCCACAAATGATGCATAAAATATGAGCTTTGAACATTTCTTAAAAGACTACAAGATCTTGTTTGTTTGTCTCTGATATTTGATTACAATAATCTCACAGCTTTCTTACATGTCATGCCTCTGACCATCTACCTGCCATACATCTTCGTTTTGACTTGGCAGCTGTGTGTTAACAAATACCTTGGAGGACAGTCCCGTCCCCCCCCAATTTATTAGTTGGGTTAACTTGCCAAATCACACTAGGGTGCATTCCCAATATAAATCTCTGTATGTTTGGCTTTACTCTGCTCTGCTTCTCCCAGACCATTGAAACAGAAATAATATGATAAATGGAAAAGAGTGGCTTTCTTTCAGCAGAGTAAACAAACTGACATGATCGTAACTCAAAGATTGTCCAGGGAAACAAAATAAAACTTGAAAAAAAAAGTCAAGCGGCATAAATAAATAATGGGTAGCTTTCACTTTGTTCCACGAACAGAAGTTTTCCTTTACAAGTGTGCTGGAGTAAATCACCATGAAGAAGCAGGGGGTCCGCAGAGGCAAAGGACCAAGGAGAAAGCTTTGTGTGTGTGTGTGTGTGTGTGTGTATGTTGTTGTATGCATATGAAAATGGGGGCACTCGTAACAGGGTCTGCTGATACGTATGTGTGTGTGTTCTTAGGAGATCGGGGGCACTCTATGGGCAGTCTGATGGGGAGCTGAGAGATTAGGGAGGGTCTTGTTTCATGGACCTTAAGACATATGTTCTCTCTCTCAGGCCCGCCCCCTCCTTTCTTTCATTGAACTATAAATGCCCCCCTACCTTGGGGAGTGGTGAGCCATGGACGGAGGGAGGAATGCGGGGCTTCCACTTGCTTTTCATTAACACAGGATCTGGTAACACACCTCACTGTCAACCTAATCCCCTCTCTCTCCATCTTGTCCCCTGGCAGAGGGGGGGCTGCCATGACCAGGTACAGAGCCCCAGATGTTCGGCGGACGAAGGGGGGGGGTTGGATGACAGGGTCTTCACCCCGTTGCAGCTATGGATGTATGCTGATGAAGACAGGGTGGGGTGGGGTGAGTGTAATGGCATATACTGAAGAGACCCCTGTTATTGCTCACACTTAGCAGTCTGCCTGTCTTCTGCTCCCCCCACCCCACGTCCTGTATTATATCTCCTTTCTTTCTTTACCCTTCCCTCTGCTTCCTTTATCATACTATGTGACAAACTTTTCCTCATCTGCTTCTCTGTCCTACTCATTCATTTATTTCCTTTCTTGTGCTGTATCCCATTTCTGCTTAATCTGCATTTTCTCTCTGTCTAATCATGTTTTATTTCCTACAACTTCTTTTATCTGACTCCTCCTTCATTTCTCTCACATTTCTCCATTTTTTCTCTCCCTCTGCTTCTCTATCTCCATCACCCTCCTGCTTCCCTTCATTCACAACTCTTCCCGTCCCTGTTCCTCCCTCTCCGGTTTCTCTTTGCACACTGGCATCATCCTGAGGTCTGCTCAGGATGTGGTCCATCAATCTCAGCTTGCCACTGACGACCAGCAGAGAATCAACAGCAGCAACAGTAGTGGTACATACTGCAGCAGTAGTAATACTACATTCTCCTGTCTTACATCTCTCATGTACAGCCTCTCCCGGGGGGGTCATTCCCCCTGACTTATTGTGGCAGCTCAAACGCTCAACCTAACAGAACGGGAATCCTAACCTTTATCTTCGCAAAATTCCAAGGTATCCGTTTTCCAAGGTACAGAACGGACTTGAGAGGCCAAAGTGCTGAGTGATGGAGGCGGTGCAGCTAGGCTAAAAGTCAGCAGATACATCTATTGTCAATGGCGATCAGTCTGCGTAATTGGAGACAGTTTGTCTCCTTTCAATGGCAACAAATCTGGAAACACTATGTGAAGAAGCCCTCGGGGAAAATAGCCGCGTGTGTTGTGACAAAGATCTATAAGAGTGCTGGAGTTATCAAGAACAAAAAAAAAAGAGGAAGAAACAACTGGGTGAGACAAACATGTTATTCAGCAGCATAACCTATGACATTTGCTTTAAAATATCTTTTCCAATGCCAAAAAAAAAGATCCTCTTTGTGGGCATTTCGTGCCATGCAGCATTTACAGATGTTACTCAAAGTTTTACCATGCTCTCAGAGATGAGGCAAAGAGATGAAATATCAGGGTCTATAATGAGATCTACATACAGGATCTCAAACCTCTCCGGTATTTCAGAGAGTGCTCAAACATGATAGATGGGGAGCTGAATGAAACTTCTGCTGCAGGTGATGACAGCATTAGTTTTATGGCAGTTATTGTAATGTCTTGTTCAGAACAGACACACATGATGTTATGTTTTTTGGGCCGTAACAACAAACAGTATTTCAAAGAGTCCCGAGCCAAACTGGAGATGAATGATCCAATGGATATCAATAAACACCAGCGGTCCTGATCCCAACATTTTATATGTGTCCAGTCAAGCTTTAATGTCTTGAGAGGAGCGGTGGCTCTGTTTCAAGGTGCTGGTAATTGTGTGGTAAATAATATCCATGAAAAGACAGTTCACTGCACACTAATCTCTACTTCCTGTGTTTATTGTAAACAAGTCAAAGTTCTACTATTAACAAATCTGTTTTGAAAAGGATTTCTATGTGCAAAGGAAGAGAAATCACTATAAATATCTGAAGCAAAGAGAGCAGGAGGGGATTAGCTTTCATATTAGTACAATTGTCTCTAAACTTTTTCTTTTTCCAACACAGTTTCAACTGTGTTTATCAAAGTCAACACATCAAAGATGGATGAAAGCTGAAAAGCTGGTGAAAATCAGAGCAGGGCAGCAGCGCTGAGCATTGTGTCACTGTGCAGTTATGCAGATTTGAGTAAACAAAGTGCAAATTGTTTGAGGTTTTAATTAACATTTTCGACAATCATTTTATCTGAAGTAACCCAATATAACAACATCTGTCAAGCAGATGCAAGCACTTAGGGAGCCCAGTTCCTGCTCTGTCCTCGTCCCCCTGCAAACCCAACTCAACAGGGGATGTGTTGCTCAGTGGTACTTCGGTACAAACCATCTCTCTCACAAAATTACGAGTGTTCCTTGTTCTCTCCCACATATGGCACGTCAGCCCATCACTCTCTTTTATCTTACTGTTTCCATGTGGTGGCCAATTTAAAAGACATGCCAAACAAATAGCAAAAACTGAAACACAAACCAACAGTTCCTGATCATCTATTACAGCACATCGGCTCACACCCAACGGCACAGAGAAATTGGAAGCTTTTGAATTTACATTAGCATTAGCAGTTCTGATTGTTAGAATGGAAACACTGCGATGCCTCCTGGATAATAGTCAGTGTTGATGATGAAGGCAGGGTTTGGTCCTAACACGAAAACAAACATCTCACTCTCACACACACTCATACATAAGCACATGCAAATATCTTTCTCTTTCAGGCAGCAATACACACATACTCATCAGCAGCAATCAAATACACACACACGCACTGTCTCACAACAACTTAAGGTCCAAGACTAACACAAACATCTCACTTTACAGTTTACTGACAAAACTTGTTTTTGGCAGATGAGGGCTTTGCTAGCATGTGAAAAAAGACATCAATATTCCAAATAATCCTGAAAGCAATATTGGTATTTGGTTCATAGTGTGAGTGAATGACAGAGTGTCAAATTGTCCAAAAAGGCTGAGACATCCCATACTCTTCAACAAACAAGGGCGGAAAGTGGAAAGTTTGACTAAGCGCTATGATCAATAAATATTCAGAATGTATTTATACTTGTTGTCTTTATACAACCTGCTGCTTAATTAAACACATTCTCTGAAGGAACATGTTCCAACACACCAGCTACAAATAAACTTCAATCTGAATGAATAACAAATATAAGTATGGTGCACTGGGTATAGCCCTTTAGAGTTTGTCCACATCAATATTTGTTCGGTTACACAATGACATGAAACAGAACAATTTGTTCTCCATTACATTTTTCTATTGGATATTTGGAGCTCTGCGTAACTGTGCTTCATGTTCAAAGGGCCTGGATTGGTTCCTGTTGGCACACACGGTGAGCTTAGGGTACTAGGCAAATGACACACCACAAAAAAACATGTACATTTAGTGGAGTGCATTACTGAGTCTTAAAATTGTGGTTTCTTTAAAAGATGATAAAATCTGCCAAATGGGGTGAGGTCATTACAGTTGTTTCCAATGTAGCTCCACCTGTTTCAAGAATTCCCTTGAAACAAGTGGCAATGTTTTTGCAATGCAGCAGAATAAGATGGATCACATCAGCGGTATAATGTTTTTTTCATTTTAACATTAAGAAAAAAGCAATAATGAAGTAAGTTATTTCAGGTCTAGGCCCTTGTTACTTTAGAGTGAAACAACATGGGCCATTTACTGAGCTCAGGGGCATCTTTGTAGGGGGTTTGAGAAAAGAATATAAATTGCTTCAACAGTCTAAAGCATCAGCAACCATACAACCAAGATACAGCTAACTCTTGGTTGTATGGTTGCTTCAACAGTCTAAAGCATCAGCAACCATACAACCAAGAGTTAGCTGTATCTTATCAAACAACAGTTCCGCTTTTCCATGAACATCTCTGATCACAAGGTTTTACCACAAACTTTTTTTTGTTAGTTGGTATAATTTACAATTGATTTCCAGTTTAGGGGGCTCTATGTTTCCAGTTTGAACATCAAGGTGACCTTCATTAGAACTATGAATATTAAAACTGGCTGGCCCATCAGGGTAGCAGCTGTCAAAAGTGTTTTTCATTTTGTTACTTCCTTTGGAGGTTCAGTCAGTCACAAATTTATTTGGCAAATTACAGAAAGTATGGTTTCATGTTTCTTCACCTGTGATGCAGTGCATCTGTGTTGCTTGTACTTCTTATGTGTCTCTGGCAACATAAGCTCAATGCTATTTTTTTAGTTTCTGCAAAAAACAATGGATGTTTCGGTTTTACTCACCCTCTATTCTAGGACCCGACTTCATGTTCAGACTTCCTGTCATGGACGACACTGTTACTGTCACGCTGGGCCTCATTGGATGGGCCTCTGTCTCCATGACAACTACAATCTGGTCAGTGTGGAGAGAGACCTTGTGGAAGGACAGCGCCAGGACCCTGATGCTGCTGGCTTTACCCAAGGCCGAGGCTTGATGGTGAGGCTCTGAACGAGGAGGACATGCTCTGGGTGGTGTCTTTGTAGGGGAGGTGTGAGGGGTGGAGGAAGCAGAGGGTGGTTTACTGGAGGTATCCCAAGTGTAGTTTGGTAGGACTTTCTGCAGGTAAGCTTTGGCCTGCTCCAGCTTCGCCAGTGTGGGGTTGATTTTCAAAGGGCGTGATAGCTCCACATTTAACTCAGCTGTGGAGAGAGATGGAAAGTAAGAAAATGAGGGAGAGAAGGAGACAAAAGATAGGAAACAGTGAAGAAAAAAGACAAAGGAAAATGCTTTTAAAACTGAGTTGTTAAACAACAACTCTCTCTTTGGACAGTTTCTAAGCAGTCCGTCTCAAAATTGGGGATTCTCTCCTGTGCTCATTCTGACTTATACTTACGAAGTGTGAGAAAATGAGAGAGCGATGCTTTTGGGCAGGTTATAAAACATGTGTTTACTGTTGAGACTAAAAGAAGCTACCTCAAGTACATTAAGTAGCGCACACACTAAATGTACGTTTGTGCAAACTAGGGATACTTTACATTTGTACATTTCATATGTATCACATTATCGTTTCAAAAGTACGGTCATGCATTTGCTAACTGTCACCAGGAGTCGGAGGGGATGGTGGATGGCATGACACCTTGGTGAGACACCTGCCAAGCTGCAGACCACTGTTCAACACCAACCAACAACAAAACCAATTGAATTTTAGCAAGTCATCAAAGTATTTCAAGCTGCTTTTTAGCCACCACAAGTGGGTGTTTTTGAGTGAACCATCATTGTGTTTCCAACACAGATTGTTCCCAGAAAAGCGGCTGTTTTTTACCAAGACATCAAATTTATATTTGATATATAGTCTTTACAATAAGCAATTTAGTAAAAGGCTGTTTAGTCCTCCTCTGCGCTACATCAGGCCCTCTTAAACTTTGTGAAACCCCGGACCTGAACTGAATAAAAACCCACCATAAACTGGACACAATCCATTGGAGGGTTTTAAGGAACGGCAGGCTTCATCAGTGTCCAACTGAGCAAGATCTGTTGCTATCTAACCCATAGAATACTGCATGGTACCGTGTCTCATAAATCAAACTCTGAACTCTTTTCTCCTCTTCTAATCACTCAGCTTTGCATGCAAGAACCTGTTAAAGAACAGCTGTGTCCAGTCTCAATCTATATCTCCTTGAGTTTTATGCACATATGTGCACACACACAATTACTGGCTGCCTCACTGTAACATCTTAACGTGACATTGCGGAATAGCAGAGGAGAATCTTTTCTTCATGCCAGCCACATAAATCCAAAACTCCACGTCTCTCCTGTTCTACCTCTCTCCCGCTCTCTGGTGTGTTGCAGCCTTCAAACACTTGACTGGAATTTACAGAGACACATGAATTAACTCAATGCCGTTTTACACCACTTCCATTATCCCATTTTTCCACTTGGTCATGATGATGGGAGAGGGAAGCGGCCGAAAACAAGCGCAGCTGTTTTTCATGGTCTCATCAAGGCACCAGTGTTTAGAGGGTTTTTAAGGGTTTTAGGCCTCCCGTCTGTCTCCTCCCCAGGTAGGAGCACTGGATGACATGAGTGGGAGTGCTGCCAAGGGAGGCAGGAGCACGCGCGCGCACACACACACACACACACACACACACACACACACACACACACACACACACACACACACACACACACACACACACTGACTCTGCCCTCACGATTCTCTCTCATTTAATCCAGTGGAAGTGAGGCACATGGTCAAATGGAAGGATGGCTGGAGAGAGGAATTGGAGGAAAGATAGGTGGAATTTGCTGTGCAATGTAGCTTATCATTTCCACTTGACTTATCACCAGGAAACTTTCCAGTGGTGGAATAAATAGCCTGCATGCAGCTGTTCATCCAGGTTCCTCTGCTTCCCTCCATTCTTCTTTCACCCTTTCATTTTCTCCCTCTGTTTCATGTAGCTCATCCTTCTGCTTCTTTCTATCTTTTACTCTTCCTCCATCCCTCAATCTAATCAACCCATCCCCCCTCTGTAATCACATAAAGCTGTCTCTGATCACCCAGTCAGGGCCAGAGCCGGGCCTTGCCTGGCTCTCTGCACAGAGAGACCTGGTCCTCATTATCGATTGTCCTCCATCCTGAGGTCCCTCTCTCTTCCTCTGCCCAAAAAACCCATCCTACCCCCAACATGCAGCCATTTCTAAGGGATTTATTACCTATATTCAGAAACTCACCTCTCCTAAATGAGCACTGCTATGAATACAGTTCATTCTAACCCCAATACTTAACCCATATGTAAATTTTTACTTGATATGAAGCATTAGTCATGAGTAAAACATCTAATGTACAGTGCGCCTGTGGAGTCATCCTTGCCACATCTTTCCAACCGTCTAAAAAAAAACCTAACAAAAAAAATCATATACACCGATCACCCAAAACATTAAAACCTCTGGTGGGTGAAGTGAATAACAATGATCATCTTGTTACGATGCAATGTTCTGCTGGGGAACCTTTGGTCTTGGCATTCATGTTGATGCCCCTTGACATGCTCCACCCATCCAACCCCATTGCAGACCAAGTAAACCCCCTCATGGCAGTGGTACTCTCTGATGGCAGTGGCCCCCACAGTAGGACAGTGTGCCATGCCACACTGCAAACACTGCTCAAGAACTGCCCGAGGAATGTGACAAAGAGGTCAAGGCATCAACTTGGACTCCAACTTCCCTAGATCCCAAATTGATCAAGCATCCATTGGATGCCCATGGAATGTGCCAGAACCCCTGAGATACCCCTGCTCCAAGGTGGGGCCACCTTGGCACTGCCGATGCTGAGTGGTGTTGCAATAGTGGTTGGGTGGGAGAAGAAAGTCAGGTTAGGCCAAGCCAGAATCAAAGATTTCCCAGCAGAACATTGCACTGTAACGAGATGATCAATGTCTTTTATTTCCTCTGTCAGTTGTTTTAATGTTGTAGCTGATAGGTTGAATTGCTTCAGGACCTTATCTGGACATGGTTGAATGAACTGAGATTCCTACAGCTTTTATCATTAAAGGCAACACAAGAGTCCACAACTTCTTGTTAACTGCACATCATGCAGATAAAGATATTATAATTCCATTCAAAAAGATTCATTTATACTATATTTACAGCAATATTTATGATAAAGGGTAAGAGTAATTAAGTGCAGCACACAGCTTATCTATTAGTTCAATCATAATCAGAGTTGGGTAAGGGTTACTTTAAAGGTAATCAAATTCCTTTACTGCGTTACTTTTTTGAAAAGTAACCAACTACTTTACTGCGTTACTCCCTGAGTAAAGTAACTCAAGTACTTTTAAAGTACTTCCTACGTTACTCCCTGAGAAAAGTAATTCAAGTACAAGTTATGGAGCACTTGCCCTTCACTGAGATCCAATTCTCCCATCACAGCCGTCACTTTGACCAGTAGAAACACAGAAAGATCTGCTGTTGTAGACAACTGTATGACAACAACACCCCAGCGTTTTTAATATTTCCTCTAGGGATGTTACCACACAGAGTAAAAGGGGGAAATGATGGTGTGAAACAGCAGAGGCACTTTGTCAACCCGCTGAGTTACTGTCATTAGCATCAAGCTAGCAAACAATGTTAAACTGCAGAGGCTACCAGCTTCATTTGAAACAGACTACATTATAGACGGTCCATTATTTATTAATCCCTCTGTGTTTTTATATATTTACTTTTTATCCGCTCCTGTTGCCTTGATAAAGTTAATGCATCGTGCCTTCATTTTAAACTCAACACTTCCTGAATTTGTTTCAAATTAAAAGCCCCTTATAACCTCGGCTGAGAGAATCCCTCCATTTTCTAAATGGGCTTTTATTGTGAAACATTTGTAGGAACTTGGTTGTGGAGGATACAGTAGCTTGTATGTTTACATACGGTACTTCAAATGTAGCTCCTGCCATCTGCTGGCGCTTTTTAGGTGACTACAACAACATTTGGGCTGGCACATGAACAGACACAGTGACTCAGATGATAGTAAAAGTAATAAAAATAGGACAAGAATAACCCGATGACATCACACACACTGTGAAAGACGACCGGAGATAATTGGCGTGTACCATCGTGTAGTGTGTCGTGTCTGTCGGCCAAGTCACGGCACGATTTTATGAATCCACGATCGTGTAATGTGACATAGTGACTGTCAGAACAGGCAGAAAAGTTGTGTAGTGTGTACCAGGCATAATACAAGTCCTGAGTCTGACCTGTCTGTCAGCAAGTCCTCTTCCATCTATTGAGTCATGGGGGTTTTACTGACGATCCTACATAATGTTTTAGACTCCACCGTAGACAATGACAGCATTTCTTCTACCACACAGCGAGCCACAAGCTTCATGACTTCTTTCAGACTGATAGGTTTAACGTTATTTCCGTTAGTAGAACCAAACGACAGTCATTGCTGTTTCGGAGCTGAAGGACCAGCGTTCTAAAAGTAACGGAAGTAACTGATTGCTTGTTTGAAAATGTACTCAAGTATTTGATTACTCAAACAGCAAACTAACGCGTTAGGTTAGTTGTTACTGCAAAAAGTAATCAAAGTACTCTAGGGTTAGGGTTAGTTACTTTGTAACGCGTTATACACAACTCTGATCATAATGCATCTCATTAAATGACTTGAGGCATATAACATACTGCACTTGAGCTAACTGACACGCTTCTAAATGTATGCAATACTTAAGGTATTGACAGACCGGTCAAAGGAAAATATCTGTTACTTTACTTTTTCAAATGACAGCATGATAGAGTGTATCTGAATTAGTTAATTTAAGTTGTGTGAAGTCAGAAACAACTGGACGTTGGAAAAGAAAGGGACCACAGCATCTGTACAGCTTCCCCCTGGTTGTATTCAGCAGCCCATGGAGCACATTTTTACTGCAGTGGAGCAATGCCAAAAGATGAATCTAATAAAATCACATCACAGCATTATATGGCCTCAAGTGGAGTACATCTGTCATTTTCCTGCGTTTGGTTGTTTCACTTGGGCTGGAAAGGGAGTGTGTGTGAGACGGCCTCAACAGTGGTGTTCAGTGTGGTTTCACTGTCCAGGCAAAGATGGCATAAAATGAGGAAAGTAAAACCCTCACTGCAGAAAAAAAATCCCCCCCAAAACAAAAAAGCTTTTTACAAGCCATAACAGACTTGTACATTTTACAGACTGATATGCAAAATCCTGCATTTATGGATTAAGATGTAACACAGCACTATGACAAAGACTTGTCTCAACCATACACACTGCTGCACCTCTTTAACACTGTAAACTGAAGAACTGAGAATACAATCTTATGTAACACTGCTTCCAAATGTGCCTGCTCTGCTTTAGGAGGGCAAGGAAAGACTGCAGAGACTTTTTTAAATTAAAGGGAGGAAATATCAATTATTGAGAGAGTGGTGGCACTTTCATCGCCAAGCAGGGTGAGTCAAAAGAGGGCTTTTCCAGCAGTGACATTCTCACACTAGTGTTTTTATTGGGAAAACCTTGGCTTCAGCCTTAAGACTAACGGCTATTTAAAGCTGGAGACTGTCAGTGGAAGGCCTGTGCAAGGAGCAGGCATCAAGCCTAGAGGTTGAGAGGTGGTGTTGGTGTTCGCATACCTTTAAAGAACAGGACTTAATGTGAACAGGCTGGGGGGAATCATAGACTGGCCCTTCTCAGGTGTCAGCCTCTATTAGTGCTGGAGAAAGCGGGAGATCAAGGTCTGACAGAGGCACGTACACACACATATATATCTCTGCAAAGTGGTGAGGCAGATCAAATATGCTTATTACCCAGGTTACTGTGCCTTTTTGGCGAGGTCATGCATGACGCCGTCCCCACTTTGAACCTGGTGTTGGGTATATGTGTGTGTGTGCAACCACAACGAACATTGTTTTCATTCCAACCCCACCTTTGATTTCTTTAGCTGACTTTTACGCTTGACTCTTGACAGCAGAAGGCCTGTGTCTGACACAGGTGGCAATGTGTCCAATTACACAGGGTCTGTATGTGAAGGGTATGTGCGTATGTCTGTGTTTGCAAGGGCTAGTCCTTTTTTTTGGGAGGTATCTGTAGAATCCCACTGTCACAAAAAAAAGCCTCATACCAAGTAAGGCCAGTGACACGCGCCTCAGATACCATCTGACTCGAATTAGAGTGGTTCTGGACGGTTCGGAGGGGCACAGGCTTGTATACAGTAACTGACAACATTTCTACGAACCCATAGCTTGACGGGAACCAGGGACACGGGAGAGTAATGGTTCCAATTTGTTCTAGCTAATCTATCACCTGTTGCTTCTCTCGTCTCCAAGTGGTAGCAGTTACATCTCTGGACTCACTCACTGACCCTCTCAAAGACTGGAGCTGAGTAGGAAAGATGAGAGAGGGAGCAGAGGAAAGTGTATATGTGTGTTGTGTGTTCACTGGTCAATCACTGCTCATACTGAAAAAAACAACCCCATCTCAGCTTTTTATATGTATGTGTTTGCTGGTCAAGCCTTGAACCCTCCTGGTTTACAAATGTGGCTTCCTGTATGTATCCGTATTTGTAGTGTTTATATGTGTATGTGTGTGTGTGTGATGAGCGGCTGCTGAGTGAGGGTCAGTGCTGAAACACCATCCAGTTTATAGTACACATGTTACAAGTGTTTCCCACTCGGCATCCTTGGGAGGGCAGCTTTGATTGGTCTTGCAGAATAAATGCTGCTGAAATTGCGAGCATATTGCTGTAAACACACAGCAAGACGTGGCCTCACGGCGGTCTGCTCTCCGTTTGCGCCTCGTTGAAATAAATCAAATGTGAAGCACTGTCGAATCAAAGTAGAGCTGCCAGACATGATACACACGCATCGCAAAACACACACAGCGACAGACAGTTATAAAGACTTGCACATGCAAATAAACCATCTGTGAAAATACCATGGGACTGATAAATAAAATGCTGAATGCTCTTTTTCTTCCTAATCCTGTCTTTATCGATCCTCCCTTTGTTCTTCTTAGCATCTATTGTTTCATATTCAGATTAGAGAAATCCAAACAAATAAACTTGACTGACTGGAGGCATCAAACCATGTCTCACCAGGTGAAGACACTTATTAAACCTTGTTATGAATGATGCAGATGCTTCAGTTCAGACTGACAACAGGAATTACTGTTCCGCAAAGTCAGCATCACTGATTCTCCTGCTCTTTCTAACGTCTTCCTTTGCTCCTCCATTCCTGAAGAGGATAATAATCTTCACCAGAGAGTCATCTAACCAAACAGCTCACAGTTGTGTGCGTGTGCCTGTATGTGTGTGTGACTGTGCGGGTGAAGGGGTGAGGGAGAACCAGTAGCATGTGTGGTCAATTCTAGATATTTCCAGCACAGCCTGACCTGGGGCAACCTCACACTGAGCCTGGATCCTGTCTGAGTCATTTGGGAGGGTGTTGTTTATATGTGTTGTGTGTGTGTGTGTGTGTGTGTGTGTGTGTGTGTAGAGAGAATGAATGTGAATGATTATGATTGAAGTTATCCCAGTGAGACAAGGATGGCTCTGCTCTTTACTAGTTCAAGGGAAACACCTGACTGTAATTGTAGGATGTCGACATCTGCGCTTCAACTGAACACTAGAATCAGATGTAACTGCAGCATAATGTAATCGAGGTATGACAGGCAATAACCCTGCTCAGTAAAACATCCTGTTAATAAGTCACATAAAGTTGTAAAATCAGCACTGAACATTATGTGGTTTTGAACAGATAAATATATCAAGTAAACCAAAATATATTCAAATTTCAAAAATAATACTGCATCTACTGCTGTTCTTCTTTCTTGCTCTTCTCGAAAGTGAGATTAGAAATCAGAACAGTACATACTCTATGCTGAAGGACAGTTTCTCCTTACTCATTACATTAACCTGCCTCTCCTGTATACAGAGAATTCCCATCAGACGGGAATCATATTTACCATATAAGCTCAAAACCTGACTGAAAAATGATGTAATTCATGCCTCATGGAAAGGTCATGCACGCTGTAATTTGACTGCTGGCGCCATCTGGAATGAGCAGAGGGGTAGATGGACATTGGTGCTTTGCGGCTCTATTGTGTGATTGCAGTGGTGTACAGAGAGCTGCATTGTGTGGTGTGATTCCAGGTGGACAGAGAAGCTGTGGGCTTTCCGCTGACAGCAGGAAGGGATGGGTGTGGGCGTGGGGGCTATATGCTTCCCCGAACCGTCATCAATAACACCTACAGTTCAGTCTAGAGTTCTTTTTTGTATACATGCAGTGTGTGTGTTCATGATTGTATGCATGTGGAAGAAAGACAGACTATATGTCAAGGTATGTCCATAGTTTTGTGTGTGTGTGTGTGTGTGTGTGCATCTGCAGCATCTGGCCTACTGGGTTCAGGGAGCTGAACTCTGAAGGATGTCCTGCGCCTACACACACTCTTCATGAAACCCTCGTAGGGATAACAAGGTTGCACACACTCATATGCTCAAAAGCCCACTCACACTTTTATTCATTGCTGTACTATTTGGGTAGGATGTCAGTCACACCCTTAGGTCAACAACCTTTGCTTAAAGCTGCTCATATGGATATCATATCAGCCTAAAAATAGACAACCCTGTGAAGAGCAAATCCACAGGAGCCTGACATTGCACATGTGTACACACTAAAATCCACAGGAGCTTGTATTCTAATGTTCACAGTGCGTATTAGTGGTATCAGTAGCCTACTGTAGGAAAAACTGCAAGGTCTTTTACACTGCTCATCATTTGCACACAGAGCATAAAAGTAGACTTTTGTGTTTGTGTCTGGTACAGTATGCTTTTGATCAGTGTGTATGCGTGTGCTCCTCTTGCTGCTTCACAGCAGTGGACATTTCCCCCGAAACGGGATTAAATGTGAGACGGATGCCTTAAAATAGTAAACGAGCATGTTAGCGTGAGTATAAAGACGTTGCATGCACTGAACAATGTGTTTTTTCTGTGTATGTGTGTGTGCGTGATCCCCACCGGGTCCATTGAGGAAATCTTTGATCTGGAGGCAGAGCAGAGGGGGAGGGATGCCCGTTTTACTGTCTACCTCTCCAGCTACTGTCTGCAGCCAAAACACATTGTAGTCCAGTGACTCTGGCAGAGTCTTTCCTGGGTCTGGATGAAAGATGAAGAAATTAAGAAAGAGAAACAAAGAGGAGAAAAGGAGCAAGGAGAAAGAGAACAGGAGAAAGAATTGGTGTCAATGTATTTAATAGATTTTATATTTACTGTTATGATAGTTTTCCTTTGTGGGTTTAATTGGCTGGCAGCCATGTTGTATTCCCTGTACTTTAAATAGGGCCTATATCTTTACAGAAGATCCAAATCCCACCCTTTCCACTTATAAGATCCTTTTGGTACATCTTCCCCACACAAACTTTGACAGTCTCCTCTCCTAATGTCTCTTACCTAGGCACTTGTAGTCAGAAGCTACTCCTCTCAAGGCCACGTCAAACACAGAAAGCTCCATCCTCTGCTTGCGGTGGTGGCAGCTGAGCAGAGCCGAAGGTTGCATCACCTGGATGTACAGGAGGGGTTCCAGCACCTGGTCCCCAGTCCCTCTTCTCCCTGGCTGCCTCACTATGGTCACACCCAGTGCTTGGCGGGCTGAGGAGCGGCTGGGAGTTGGCAGGCCACCCAGGGATAGCAGGCTGCCTTTCAGGAGGGGAGAGGCCGGCTGGGAGTTGTTGCTGTTGAGGATGTCCTCAGCTGTTAGGCCAGCAAGGGAACCCTGGGCAGCTGGAGCAGGGTCTGGAGTAGGGGAGGCCGAGGTCGGAGGAGACTCAGGCAGGATCTCAGGCTGGTTGAGGGCACTCTTTCCCATCTAAAGTAGAAGCAGAAAGCTCATTTAGTACAGTGTCAAGCCTCACTTTCCAAAAATTCACTATAATTATTTCAGGCATTGATTCAACAAGATGCTGGAAACATTACTAAGGTTTTGGTCCATCATAACTTGCCCGCATAATGCAGTTTACACAGATCCTGTTGATCCTATCTATATACATCCACTGTTTGGAGGAACTGGCTGTTCATAATAACACATTGTACCAAATAAAATGTCCACTCAATGTAGATGCAAGCAAACAGACCCTCTTATTACCAAGAGAACTGCAGAGTTCTAATTGCCTGTGACAACTATGTATTTGTTTTCCTATTTTGCGTGGGACAGTGTTGAGCTGGTGCCCAGAAGTCTTTCACTTTCATATCAGCCAGATCACATTACCAGTGACTAAGTGTAAAGAGCAGCTTTTGAATATACATCATACATTTAAAGTCTTGAGTCAGCTAGATGGGCAGTGACAGACTGAACGGAATAGACTAACTGTACTGTGCAAATCCATACTACAGTGAAAAACACGTCATTATGTTGGATTAAATTCAGTTAAATGAATTTGGACTGTATGAAATTACTCTCGTAAACCACATAAGGTAAGGCCAAATTTAAAAGTTGATTTTAAATTATGTAATATTGATCCTTTGTACATGTACACCACTACAATCCTCACATAAATGACACATATTGCTTTTGTGCATGGTATGAAAAATTATACACACATGGACCACTGACAAATCCAAGAACTGAGTCATGAGAGAGCCTCCATGTCACAGGCTTTTTGTTTACCTTATCCCCTGGCTCCTTCTTCTCGGGTGTGCTGGGGGTGTCCGACGATGAGGGAAGGGCCTTTGGGGGACTGGAGCAAGCATAGGTCATGACAGACATCCTACTAGCTGTGAGAAAGATGTCGAAAGGGATGAAGTTAAGGTTCTTGGTGATGGTGGACTTGTGGGAGGGCCTAGCGATGCAGTGGTGGCTGGCCCCGCTTTGCTGCTCTATTTGGACAATGCGAATGTGAGCACTGTCACTGCCGAAGCCGCTGTCCTGCCCAGTCCCACTGTGACGTGATGAGGAGTCGACGCCTGCCGCAGGGTCTCGACTGCCATGCTTCTTCTCGTATCGACGCACCTGTACACAAAAACAGAGAAAGGTAAGGCTGCATTCATATTGATGCTGATTTTTTGAGCCTTGAAGTCTACTGGAAATGGCTTCACTATAAAAACTGCTATACTTTTCTTGCCTTTATTGTCACAGATGAGTTTTCTTGCTATATAAGCCAACAGTGATTCTCAAGAACAATAATGAAATTAAAAAAGAAGGTAAAAATGTACAACTTGTACCAAATGTTTGCACTGTATTGTATTCTACAGTAAGTAGTGGCTATAGCTGCAATGATTAGTCAACTATCCAACAGGTAAATCAGCAGAAAATTAATCCATATCTACTTTGATAATTAAATGGTCGTTTTATGATTATTTGAGCAAAAAAGCAAAACATTTGAAGGTTTCATGCTTCTTAAATGTGAGAATTTGATGCTTTTCTTTGTCAAACTTACATAGCGTTGGGTTTTTTGACTGTTAATGGAATAAAACGTACCATTTGAAGAGGTCACCTTGGGCTCTGAGAAATAGAGTAGTGCAGGAATAAGTCCTAAAATCCTGAAGTGAGTTATTAGCACTCCCGGGGCCCTCATGTTGAAGAGAATGGATTTTGTTTAAGGGGTTTTTGGTTATAATATATATATATATATATATATATATATATATAAATAAGGTCTGTGATTAACACAAGCTTAACAGACCTTCATGTTTTATTCAACAACATAAAATACATCAGTACATACCCAACTTATGAATTTTAAAACTTATATGTGTTGTTTGCTAAAGGCGGCTGCTAACAAGTGGCTAAATGAGACTACAGAACGTCATCATGCCAAATACAGCTTTAGGTCTCCTTGTGGTGGTGATGTTAAGTCATGCAATAATTTTTATTTTCTGAGGTTTTATTGACAAAACAATTATTCAAGAAAATTATGGGCAGATTAATCCATAATAAAAATAGTCCTTAGTTGCAGCCCTGGTAGTGGCTAAAGCAGTTTGCACACATCTGTTCTGTTTTGATTTCTCTTTTTTTTTTTGTCTAAACCAACTACCACAACATTAAAGCTGAACCAGGAGAATATGATGCATCCTCTGACCTCCGTTACCAAATGATCTCAGTAAAGGACCTCAATCACAATGCCCCACACCCACACAAACACACACACACACACACACACACACAGTTACACAGGCAGCTGCTACCTGTGTAACTCCACAAACACCCTAAAACATGTGCAACAGCTTGATAAATGTGACTTAAAACATGAGATTTCAATTTGCATTAAAACAAACTGCATTATCTCAAACCAAACCAAGATGCTGTGTTAGAATTGCAGAGATGGATCAGACCATCAAATAAAAATGGATGAGAGCATTTTTTTTTCTTTTTTGCAAAGTTTGTTTCTTGTTTGGATCCTGACTTTACAAGGGGACACAAACCAAATAACTCGCTTGATTGAAACCATGGACAAATTGACCAAAGGAGGAGAGCATCATATAGCCACAGAGACATTAAAGGCATGCTCTGGGACTTTTTCTGCGGTCTTAAAATCATTTTGCACTTCTTGCAATATTGGAAATGTCTTTTAAGAAGGGCCTCACCCGGCAAATCACATCGTTTCGTGTAGTGACTGTGGTATTGTGTCTAAAGCAGCCGAGATTTTAAACTTGGCTCCAAGTAACGGATGTCGGGAGAGTTCCAGCCGTTGTGGCAATAAAAAGCTTTCAGTGACAGATGATATAAATCAATGTGAGTAGGTTGCTGGGCTTCAAGCAACAATGAAAACAGGCATCTTTATTCTGCTACCAAAGCATGCCATCTTCAAAACTATAAAGAAGCCGCCACTGGCTCCCAGGGGACATGAACGAGACAAATATATAAAACTAAACACTACCTATCAAATAATAAATAACTCAACATATTTATGTAGAACTGACACGTGTGGGGAAAAACAAGCTGGGACAAACAGAAGCATTTACTTTTCAAAAATTTCCCAAGTGCATAAAAAAATATTTTGTAGATGCTGAGAAGAAACACTTGAAACCATTCCCACAAAAGCACTCCCTTTTCTCTCATACAGCGGAACTTAGAGCATCAGAAACTGAAAATACAGAAAAAGAGAAGGGCACATGTAAAAATGTAAGACCGTTTTGGTTCATTCAACCACTAAGTCATATAAATTAAGCACTCTAATCGCTGCCAGGTTGTCAGGTGCATCATGAAGAGACTTGGGCCTATTATCATTTCCAATAACACATGCAACACTGTCACCCCATTATTAAGGCCTTTTTCATTCATATCAATGGGTCCAACATCAGTTTCAGTAAGCTACTGTTGTCTTTTGAAACATGATGGTAACAAATAGAAAACAGAGAAGACACACAGAAAGACAGTTTTCAAAAGGCTCAAGGTATGTCCCATCCTATCCCACCCTCGTCTGCTTCAACCTGCACATGGTTGCTATTACAGCATGTACTCTGAGCTGCCCCCTCTTGCTCGCTCTACATCGCTCCCTCCCACCCACTCCATGAGAATTTTAAATGTATATTATTGCTGTGGCGGAGATAGTGTTTCAAGACCTCCAGGCAAATACTAAACCCACTGGCAGCACATTAGACAGAATACTTGACTTATTAGATATTTCCTATTCTAAACAGTGTCATCAAAGGCTAAGAACAAGAGCCATATAAAACGCTGCGGCATGCCTGCCCGCCTGCCTGTTCTGTTCTGTTCGTCCAGGCTCATGTGTGGGGCTTCTATAGGATCGGCCCTGCCAGATCCCTCTCCTTTCCCTGGCCTAATGAGGACAGGATGTGTGCACTTCTTTTCTGTAGAAATGTAAGATTTTCCAAGCAATGGGGAGGGGAGAGAAGGCAGAAAAAGGGCCTCGACTTGTCTCCATGTGTGTTGTGTTAAGCGGGTGAAACTTGTATTGAGGTAAGGAGGTATTTGAAAAGGTATTCAGCAGAGGCAAAAAACGTCCACTCCAAAGAGCGCCCCACGTTGGAAGGGACAAATAAGCTGCACGGCAGCTGGGAATGAGCAAGCGCCAGTAGAAACTGCCAGATACTCTTTACGCTTCTCTGTCTCTCTTCCCAAGCTTAGGCAGTACACATGCATTTACAATTACAGCAAATACCCCGTCTTCTCTTTAACCACCACTACTAAGAGAGTGCCCCCTAAGCAAATTCTTGGTCTATATTTAGATGTGCTTACAAGTGGAATAACGGATAATGGGGAACACAATTGGGGGCGTAGAGGAAAGAGACAATGAGAAAACATACCACAGCACACAGTTGTTCATATAGTTTGAATCAATGCGTGCAATCTGTGCATTTACAAACATGCACACATAAACACACATGAAGTCAGTTGCTTTCCCAGAGTTTGATCTCAGCTATACTTTTATAGCACTTAACTGGATTCCTTCCTGTGTTTCTGGGCTCAGTTGTATTATCCATATTTTGCTAATTCACTGAAAAAGAAAACAGGTATACACAGAAAACATAAACCCATGACTCTGTAGTCTATATGCTTTAACCTTTCGCCAATTTATTCATTGACAGAAGGCAATAAATTCAGAACACAAACATGCACCGGAGCTGCAGGCCTGTTCCCAGCTGAAATCCCCTTTTCCAACCATTACTTTCTATTATATTATATAATGGCTGCACTGAAGCGCTGTTTCCAGATCCCAATACAATCTTTCTCTGGACTTAGTTGATCACGATCATGCAACTACGCACACACACACCCTCCCCAACCCCCACCGGCCAATCATGAGGTCATCCCCTCAGAGTCTCTAGGCAGAACATTCTGGAAAATGGAGGATAATCCCCAAAGTGTGAAACCATGAGTCTCCCAAGTGCCAATCATATCAGAGTGCATCTGTACGACTTCTGACCCCTATTTCTGTCAGTGTAACTCAGAACAGCTTGGCTAGAGGAAGGCTAATATGCGGAAGCAAATGTCACATCATCCAAATGCCACCCGTTTACAGTGTTGGCTGGCTAGCTGAATATGACAACATAACTTTTACATCTGAATACCACATATGCAGTTGATTGTTTCCAGATGAATGAAAAGTAGGTTGCAATTCAGGTTCAGAGATCAGGGAATATGAAAATGTGGATGTTTTTAGATGGTAGAGAAGTCGACAGGAAAGACTATAATAAATAACGCCAAAGTAACAAAGGTGACTATTATTCCTTTCAAAAGGGTCCATTTAACAGCCACATAGCCTCAGTGAAGCCTGAAGCCAGTCCAGTTATATAATAAAAACTTCAAGGGTGCCCAAGTTAGCTTCAGGGACACAAAAAGCACCCAAAAAAGGGGGGCAAAAAAGCACTGAAAAAGACATAAATATATGTTCACTATATTTTAAGGATAACATAAAAACATGTTATAAAATTAAAAAAAACACCCTGCTTTTAGCCTGCTTGTAGTACAAATGAATAAACTTAACTGAAAGTACAAAATGCAACTAAAAACACATGACAGTTAACGATGATGACAACGGGACATCAATGCTAAATAAGTTTAATGTCTCTTGATGACATAATCAAAGTACTGGTGAATGGAAAGGTTGATTGAGTGACTTCACTAGGAAGTGACAACAGGGCTAATAGCGGGAGACGGTCAAGGCAGCGGTACAAAAAGAACCTGAACATTAGTGTTGAGTGAAAAAGGTCAGCCACTTGACATCATTAGAGAATTACAGTTGGTAAAGAAAACCTTGAAGTATGCGGGGACAGAGTTGTCACGGAGAGCCAGAAACAGATTACAGACACACTTCTTAACCATATCATGTTGTCTTCCAAAAAAAACAAAAGAAAAAGTTACTGCACATGTACTATATTTCCACTTCTGGCTATCACCTCTCAGGCTTTTCAATCATAGCAATGTACATGCTTGTTTATTAACTTTAACAGACATGACTGTGGAGATAAAACAAGCTGCAATTAGTAGCACTTTTCTACCTAAATGAAACCAGTGGCAGGCGGTTTCAGTAGTCATAGTAGTCAGGT